CCACGTCCAGGGAGGTCGGCTACAGTCCCATGGATCTGACATTTCTGAATAATGACTGAACATGTCCCTGTGGTCACATTATATTCAGTCTTTTCTAGGGGTACCATCATGTTTGTCCAGGCCTGTTTCATGAGTTTATTTTTTAAATAATTCTGTTGAATCGCGGTTCAAAAGCAACCTCTGGTTTCATCGGTTCATTTTCATAGAATTTTCATTTATTACTACTTTTATCAGATTCAAGTTATTGCTATGACCGTTGTTGGTTTTTCTTTCATTAACCAAAGGCTACCAACTATGTTGTCTATGTGTGTAGGTTTTCAGGTTAGCTCAACAGCATCAGTTACCATGGTTACTGAGCAGCAGTATAACTAACCAGCTGGTTACTGAGCAGCCTGGCCAGCCTCTCATCCTCCTGCCTCCTCCTGGTCTCCTCCTGCAGCAGCTGTTGCTCCTCCTCCAGCATCATCTGGATCAGATCCTCACTGGCTCTCCTCTGCTGCTCCTCCAGAACTCGTTTCTCCTCCGTCAGCTGGGAAGAAAAAGACCTTTATTCAACAGAACCAGAACCAGGACCAGGACTTCACAACAGACTCATCTTGCATTTATTATTTTTATTCAGTAAATCTAAACAGGATTAGGCTAAGTGACATCACACTATAACAGCCAATAAAAAGTTCACAGATTAGCACATTAGCAGCCTGTAGCAGCTCAGGTTAGCAGAGCTGTTTGAAGGTGAACTAGAAGGTGAACAACCCCAACACTTGAACACTTCACCTGTTAGTGTCAGTGCAGCTGGAACTGATTCTGCTGATGGTCCTAAGCTAATGCTAACATTGTGCCTCTTAGCATACAGCTAATGCTATCAGTGACACCATAAAATGTTTCGAAAGTCAGATTAACTTTAACAATCTATTCCAAGACTCATCTGTCTGCAGAAACTTAACAAGAAGCACAAATTCCATCTTACCCCAAGGTACCCCATCTTACTCCAACGTAGCCCATCTTACCCCATCTTACTCCTACGTACCCCATCTTACCCCAACGTACCCCATCTTACCCCAACGTACCCCATCTTACCCCAACGTACCCCATCTTACCCCAACGTACCCCATCTTACTCCTACGTACCCCATCATA